TAAAAATATAAAAAAATGAAACAAAAACAAATAAATAAAATGTATGGACCAGGGGGTATCCTGAGCAAACAGGAGGTAAGTATCAGAAAAAATTATGAAGCCCAGTAGTTGAGCCCACGCTGCCAAAAAAATGTCAAAAATGAAGCTGAAAAAATGAGAAAAATGCAAAAGGTAGCGCCAAGGTTCGAACCCATGACCTATGCACTTTCAGCGCGCTACCTTGCCACTGGGGTGGCTGTACATCCGTTAGTTTAAATGAAACAAGAAAAACATAACACATAAAGCTTCCTTGCCCTGTACTTCATCTTCTTCCTCAAGCTGGCCAGAACCTTTGTATCTTTCTCATTTCTCCATGAAAATGGAAACTTCCAACATGAAAATGATAGTACTCTTTCCCACGATTTCAACCATGTAACTCATGTAAACTAACAGCCAATGATCAAAACTAATTTTAAAGGCCCTAATTTTAAACCTAATTTTTACATAAATTTGAACTCTAAAATTCTCTATACACAATGAATATAAATGAATTTTATGAACATGGATGGTTTTAGCACAAGGATATCTATATTTTATCTTCACAAATCGTAACCAATAGATGCCTGTATGAAGAGATAGAAGTTGGAGTTCTTACCTCTTTCAGCTAAGATCGTAAATGGAGTTTGAGTGAGATTTATGAAGGCCTGAAGATTCCTTTAGCTTGCCTGAACCTCCATGAGTATGTTCCAATCCTTGCCTTGCTTTGAAAGTGCCTAAATCTCTCTATCCAAGTCAACGTACAAGCTTGAAAAACAAAAATGACATATGGAGAAGGAGGAGTTACAGTGAAGGGGTGATGGTCTGGAACACTTAGATATGAGGTAGGTAAAGTGTTTGAGTGATTAAAACTTGAAACGCACGAGTAGATTTATGGATTGTTATGCTTGGTCTCAAACTGCAAGTTTTGACAGTTTTTTGGGGATATGGAGTTTTAGAGAGTTTCTGGCCTTGAGCAATCGTCCTCTAAGTTGTAATGTGTTTGTGTATAAGTATAGAGAAGGTTTCTAATCTACTCCACAACATATTTCTGAGTTATAGACTTTTTGCACTCTTACTTGTTCTTTAAGAAAAGTGAGGAGATAACTCTCCACATGCTTGTACAGGCCTGCTTGGAGTTGGTACAAGTCCTAGACAACTTGCTTTTGGTTTATAGGACTTGTATGTGTAGAGAAAATAGGTCCAATGCTCAAGAAGTGAAAAGTTGCAAAAGTTATGCTTTTCCAAAATGGCAATGGCAACTTTGTGCCATTTATGGAAATAAAGCTTGGATAAAGACTCTTGTGCTTGGATTAAGGCTTTATCATATGTGTAAGCATTAAATTATGAAGTGAGAAATAATTTTTAGACCTGTAAAGCAAGGATTAGGCTGCATAGGTTCATATTTGAATTTTGTTTTTCATGGAATGGCTTGAAATCAAAGTGAGAAATTGCCAACTTCCTCTCTTTGATTCTCCCTACTCAAGAATGATCGTAAGGAGTTCTTGGATATTTTGGAAATCTTGCAATGTGCTCTATAACTCATCTTTGAAATTCATTTCAAGATTCCTCTTGGAACTAGGTGAAAAATTGTCATGAAGTTAGGTCAAAAACCTGCCTAAATTAGGGCAAAATTTCACTAAGTTATTTTAGTTCATGAGCATGTATTCACAAAATTATATCTTGAGATCCAAGCATATTTAGGGAAAAATGTGTGAGGCAATGTTGTAGATTTCATGGATATCTACAACTTTCATGTTGGGAACTTTCTTTGAATCATCTTGCATCATGATGGAAATTTGGCTTAAATTTGAGAAAAAATAAGAAATTTTCTATACTTAGAAAAATTTCTAAGTTAAGAAATTTTCAAATTTCAAACAAAATCTTCAATCTTTGATTTCTTGATAAACAAGTTTCACATTTTGACATGTTTTGATGAATTGTGATCCTTGGCATTTGATTTTGACCAAAAAGTTAAAATTTGACTTTTCAGTATACAGTTGACTTTTGATCAGTTGATTGCAAATTTCATATGTCAATCCAATGGATTTGCAATGTTTTGAACCATGTTATTAGGTCAGGATGATAAAATTGGACCCTTGAAATAATGCTTCAAACCAATTGGTCATTTGCTAAGTCAAAAATCAGAAATTGCCCTTTCTCAGTCAAAACCCTAATTTTGACCATTTTGCCCTTTTGATGATTTGATCAAATTTCTTGAGGAATTATGGTCCAAACTTGATCAAATGATACATATGAGTCTAAAAGGTTGATGTGGATAAAAAATTATGAAGTTTGACTGTAAATTGGCCATGGTTGACTTTTTCCCCAATACAACTGATTTTTAGGTCAACTGTCCAATTGATTGATCAAAAATGTGATTCCAGGCTTAAAACTTGTCATGAGTAATCTTAGGGGTCCATAATGATGTTTGAAAGTCATATGAAGCATTGATAGTCCAAAATATTTGTGCAATCTCAAACCCTAATTTTGGGTCATCAGTGCAAGATGAGATGTCTTGAGTTGATCAAACCTTAATCCAGTCTTGAGTCAAAGAGATCTTGTGAGAAAAGTCTTGATAAATGAGAGGGAAAATTTTGGGGTACAACAGGGACACTTTAGCAAAGACCCTTGAAATAAAAGATTGTAGTCCCTCGATGACCCTTTCGATGTTGCCATCGGTAAACGATCTAGTCCCTTAACAAAAACTGCTAAAGTGTCTCTGCAAGTTGCCTTCGATGACTATACGATGACACGCGTCTGTCCCTTCACATCCAACAATAGGGCTTCCTACTAACTAATGATACGGATAACACTATCTAAAGGAAGAGGAAAATAACATAAAAGACTTTGAATAGGGTAGATAGTTCCTAATCGCTTGCTCACAAACAAAACAAAAACATTTCACAAACACTTTCTGAAATATTTCCAAAACACTTTGTACGCATTGTCGAGGACAGATACGAGAATCATTACAGAGTTCAACTTTTCAAAAATATTTTTCAAACACACAACACAAAGCATTTTTCAACAAAATGAGCTAGAGCTTAAGAGCCTGTAGATAACTACAGATGAAAGGGGTACTAACACCTTCCCTTTTCATAACCTACCCCCGAACTCAATTATCTCAAGATCTTTCCTGTTCTTTTCACCCTTTCCTTATTAGATAAAAGAAAAGTCGGCGGCGACTCTAGCTATCTGTACATTTGGATAAAACCAAAAAGTCAGTTCTCCCACCATATTACACATATTGTCTTAATAATACTTTAACTAGTCCAATTTCAATTCTCTTTGCTTGAAGACCCCGTTAATTTGCTACAGGACCATATGTTCCCATTTTCTTATTCCAACTGGTATGGCAAGCCTTAAATCTAGATTTTCTTCTTTCAACTTACCATCCTGCCATTTACATATTTTGTTCAGTTATTTGTTGATCAATAGGTATTAGTCAGCTTCAAAGTTTTCTCAATTTAAACACCATGTTCAATTATTGTAAGGATGGAAACAATAATTCTATCACCCATCAAAAGTTTTTAGAGATAACTTGAAATCAATCAAAAGCCTAAGCTGGATTTTTAGCTTATCTGAATATATTTCTTATGCAAATTCAATGTAGATAATTGGCGTATTATTGTAACTAAGTGAGGGAGCCTCAATCCAAAAAAAAAAAAAAGAACTTGGGTTGGTCATGGAAACCTGTATGCGAAAAGCATGGAAGGAAAATGTGTGTATACTTTAATGCGTGTATTAGCCTTTGCTTCCAAGAACTACATTCCATAATGATGGAAAAGGAATTTATGACTCTATTTACTAAGAAATTTAGTAAAAAACCGCTAGTCTTCTAAATTCTAATGATTCTGGTTACTTACAGGATCGACTAGATTGATCTTAGGACAATAGTGTCTTTTTTTAGTTGTTTTATAGGTTTTTTTCTGGATATTGATCTTTTTGATTACAAAGGTAAGTTCGAATGTAAATGGTAAGGAGAAAAATATAGATAAAGAAAGTAAATGACAAAGAGGAGAAGTAAGGCTTCGACTAAAAAGTGTAAAGAAATTGTAAATGACTTTAAAAATGTAAATGTTGCATTGAAAGATAAAAAAGTGGTGTTTCAAACGTACATTCTCAGAACTCGTTTCTCGATTAACTTTGATATTTTTGGTATATTGAGTAATTTGTACAACAATTGGACACACATAAGTCTAAAACTAGAGACTCCTATTATACTCATTCTAAACGAATGGTCTTCTCATCATAAGAGAACACGTTCTCGCTTGCATGCGTTTGATCTTTCAAAGTCCTCTACGCGTCTCTTTTCAAAAGGAACAAGTAAGCGCCAACAAGTAAGCGCCAAAATTCAAATGTTCATCTTTATTTCAAATCTCTTCGTCGAACCCGCTTCGATCACATCTTCAAAACGCTATGTTTCGACTTCATGCTTTATTCACCAAATTCCAATCGAAAACCTTTAAATCATATTATTAAAAATAAAATTTAAATCTCATTAAAATAATTCAGTTAATAATTATATAAAAACATCAAATACAAGAACACAAGTTTATCCTAATTATTACTATTACACCTGGAAGAAAAAAAAAAGGAAACAAACAAAATTTCTAAGAAAACTGTTAAGTCTACAACATTATAGAGAAACCAATAACATCTTAAAAGAAGTAAAGTTGAGGGGAGAAAATTAAATTTTAAAAGAAGAAGGAAGATTAAAAATACATTTAAAGCTTTTAAAAATTAATTAAAGAATGAAATTGAACTCCATAGGATAAGGACGAAAAAGATATTTAGTAAAAAAAAAAGTTGAAGTGGAACCCATCCAAAACATCATTATTATTGAGTTATCGACTAAAATATCACATAAATGAGTCTCATTTTCTCTATAAATACCACCTTCCCACTTATCTTCTTACACGTTTCTTACAGCTTTTGAAGTTAAAAGAAAAAAGTCTCAAAAGAAAGAGAAGAAAACAAAAATGAGTTACTTGAACCGTGTTTGGATGGCAACAACCGTGGCGGTGGCGCAAGGCCACCCTGATCCAGGCCATAAGTGCAAAACAGCTCTCGGATCTATTCACCAAAACAGGACTCGTCACTTCTCCGCCGACAGTTTGTCTGATCTCCGGCCGTTGACCGCCGTCGCTGTATCGGACGTACCCGTGAGTTCTGAGGCGGAAGAGAGGCTGAGACAAACCGACGATTCTCTCCGGAAAGTGATGTACATGAACTGCTGGGGTCAAGCCTAAATCACTGGCCTCAAACTCAGTGAAAATCGTCGCAGTCACCGGAGAATTGACTTGAATCGCTAGAGTCAGATCGGATGATGACGAGTCCGAGTCAACTCGGAGAGAGAGAGCCGTGATGGTTTTGGCTTTTGATATTGTAAATTAGTTGTAACTAAATGTACAGTGAATCAATGGATTTTATTTTCTTACTCACGTTTGAGATTGTGAATGATTTAAAAATTACTAAAATTTAACAAATCCCAATTTCTAGGTCAAGGGTTACATAAATTGAATTTTTAACCTGTATTTACAAATAAAAAATCGTCTGCAATTACAAAAATCTTATACATCACAAATTCACAACCTGGCGTTAATTCTCGGTTGTTTTTCTGTTCTTAACTATGATTGATCAATAGAAATTTAGATGATTTTGAACAAGCCGCAAATCCTCGGCCAAATGATGAAAAATTTAAATCAAATTTTAATTTTTTTTACTTAATTTATGATTTTTTTTCTCTTAATTAATAAATCTTATATCTTTCTGTCACTAACACCTAATGTTTTTATGTCCTTATCACTTTGAACATTCCTATCAAAATTCAAAAAAGTTTAATATAAATTCCAAAAAAATTAAGTCACACTCCATCAATTAAATCGTAAATGAAAAAAATAAAATCACGAGAGATTTAGTTACATAATAGAAAATGATGAATCATGTTGAAATAAACTTGAACGATCTATAATTAGGACTGATAAAAAAGGCGGTCTGTTTTATTTAGGTCTGTTTCATTTAAGTTTGTCTCTAAGAGTCTTATCAAAACTGTTATCCTAAGTGGGCTTTATGGCCCATAATAGTATAGATTTATAGTAACTATCTGCATCTTCCCTTGTAGTGTGCTTCTTATCACGTCAGATAGCTACATCACATTTTCAAATGCTTTTCCTTTATTTTGTAGTTTTCTTGATCTTATCTTTGAGTTAGTTAGAAAATGATGTAAGAGAAGTGTGACTATCCCCTTATATAAAGGATCCTATGTACCTTCCAATTAATTAATCAATGGAGAATAACTTTTAGATCTCATTTATGTTTCAGTTTTTCTCCCTTTTGTTACTTAATAAGTCTGAGTTCAAAAATTAAATTTGTTCTGTTTATTAACGAGTTGGCGGATCAATCCGTTAATTTTTAATTTTTTTAATTTTATAATTTAATTTAATATATAATTTAGAAAAAATTTAATTATTATCAAAGAGGTCGATAAAGAAATTTTTTTAACAACGCGTAATAGAACTTCAAAATGTCTTAAATTCAAACAATTCAAAAAAAAATTAATAAATAAAGATCAATTACAACAAAATAAACTCAATCACAATAAAAAAATCAAAATAAATAAACAATACATATCATCATAATCCTATTTAAAAACTAACTACTAAAAGAACCTAATTCAGAATTTACACAAAACCAATAATGATAACAATAACATTGCATAAAACATCACAGTGCATAAAATAGTAATGCATAAAATATCAATACCGAACTTTCTCAGTGTTTACATTATATAAAACTCTTATATTGACTGATTATTTAATAGTTAAATCATAAATTTGTCACATAAATTTGTCACACGTATCCAGTAATCAAATCCTTCTTTTTCTTAAAATCAACATATATTTCTAAAGAAAACATTTGAACTAATATATTGAAAACTTAATAATTATGCATGCCATACATTTGTTCTTTTATTTCGATCATTTTCAATCAACACATGTATTAGAAAGTTATAGAAAGAACGTTATAATTATAATTTAATTTGTCTGTATAATAATTTATAATACAATCGTAAGAGATAAGTGTTGTTTTTATAATTAAAGTTGTTTTAATTCTTAATAAGAAGAGTAAAAGTTTTAACAAAAATCCTGAGGGAAAACCCGCTCAGCTCCATCTCGGTCCGCTTTTTTAAGCGGGTTAGGTGGGACGGGCCAACTTAAAGTACCAAACCGAAAACCTCAGTCCAACCCGCCAAAAATGGTGGGTCAAACGGGCCAACCCGACGGACCCAACTCATTTTGCCACCTGTATCTACAATGCATCCCAAATCAATTATTCCTCTTTTCCACCGTCTTCTATCAAAACCACTGCAATTTTAATTAATTTTCCTTTTCATAATTCTTCTCTTCCTCCTTAAACAACAACACAAAACAAGAGAAGTTATGTCTCGTCATTGTTTTCTTTTTTGGTGAAGGCATTTCCCTTCAGATCCAACAACAATAACTTGACATAGATCAACTCAATGCACAATAAGTAAAGTTTGACATGAGCATAAGACAAAAAATAGTTTTTTGTTGTTTATAAATCACACGTGCTCATGACTTTTTTTTGTTATTTCTATTGATATGCTAGACCAACATATATCACTGTAGAATATCTTACTATCCTAAAATACTACCTTATGATTTCTTTATTTTTTATTGATAGGTTGCACTGTTTGTCGCAAGACATGTTTGGAGAACACATATTCGTTGTAGAGAGCTTTCAGTTTTAAATACTGATATGACTTTGTTAGAGATGTCTTATTTGATATATTTTGACGGGTTGAAGTATCTGTGAAGAAAGAGACACATGTGAGTTTATTGACTTACCTAGAGGAGATCGGCACTTAGGCCGACAGACGTTCTGGTGTACTGATGGATAGATTGTGTTGACTTGACTGAAGTTTCTCCACTTGTGAGACTGAAGACTTATAGTTTTACTGTAGGACTTACAACTCTCAGCTGATTTAAGTAAATTAGTCAAACATGAGAAAGCGTATTCCAACAATGAACATATTTTCATACCATTTGTCTTTGGTACTTTTGATTTCCTAGCATCAGAAACAGATGATCTTTTACAGAAAGTTTAAAAATTTATGAATAACAATATTATATCTCTTACATTTACGAATGTAGTTTTAAGAGGATTGATTTTGTAATTCAAAAAAAAAATTTACTATATTATGTATTGGATAATTGATCAATAATCCCAAAAAAAAAGTTTAATTTTCATATAAACATTTTGTTAAATGGTCCATTTTTGGGAGTCTTATTCCATTAATATTTACACTATCTAACTTCGCAATAGGTTTTTTTGGGTTATGAGGGGAGTTTCAATGTGCTTCATGGAAACGGGATTTTGTGTGAGAGAGGTTTTTTTTTTTTTAGTTGAGAGAATTAGAATTGGATTTGAATTTGAAAGATTTATGATGGGTAAGTTGGGTTACACCAATAGAGCCTTTTTGGATTGCATGATTAGGATTCAATTTTTGTAGAAGGGGAGAACAAGAGATAGAGGAAAAGTGTGATTGTTTAGAGAATATTTATAGTGTTGATATGCTTTATCAAACAAAGTACAAAACTTAAACTAAGTCGATGAAATTTTGTTTTAACTAATTAATTAAAAGTAAAAATTATTTTTTATTTATTTGAAAATTTTTAGGTTTTAATAAAGATGGTGATGAAGATGAAGAGGAAGAATATAAATATATTTTAAAGTATTAAATGTTGATGGTGTATTGTTAGAATTATATATCATCAGGGTTTAAATGTGTGAAATTTTTAAAATGATCAAATTATTAATATTAAAAAAAATCTATAAAATTATTGGTGGTAACTCAATAATATTGTCTCACATAATATATTTAAAGTTAAAAGTTAAATGAATGAATCAAATTGGTTAACGGATATGTTTTTGAGGATTTAAAAGTAGTGTTTATTAACTAAGGGATCAACAAGAAACCTTAAATTAAGTTAAGGAACTCCTTCATGAATTAAGCTTTTTTTTCTTCTTTCATGTAACAAAATAGTTACAATGTTTTTTGTTATTGTCTAGCAACGAAGATTGACATCAATTATGATAATATGAACAATTTAAGATTTAATATTTATTTTGATCTCTTAATTAGAAAAAGGTGCATATTAGCCTCTTAATTCTTTAAAATATATCATTTTTTTATCTTTTTGTGTAATTTGCGACTGATTTATGAGTTTTATATTGTTAATTAGAAGAAAATGATTAACATGGTACATTAAAAGATTAATATGGACTTTTTTAAATAAGGGATCAAAATGAACTCTCGAAGTTAACATGTTGAAACAAAAAAAAATATTAAACCACATTTTAACTACAACAATTTATTCAAACCAATTTATTAGTTCGTACACGATACATAATGGTGGAGCATGTATACCTTAAGGGATACTGTTGTGTGCCAAGATCTTATATAGTCTTGGAAAAACAAACTTACATGAACAACTGAGGATAGTCTAATATGGTTTAGTTGTGTGTGTGGTGTGTGTGTGTGAGAGAGAGAGAGAGAGAGAGAGAGAGAGAGAGAGAGAGAGAGAGAGAGAGAGAGAGAGAGAGAGAGAGAGAGAGAGAGAGAGAGAGAGGGAGAGAGAGAGAGGAGAGAGAGAGAGAGAGAGAGAGGAGAGGAGAGAGAGAGAGAGAGAGAGAGAGAGAGAGAGAGAGAGAGAGAGATTAAATAGTATAAATTAAATAAATATGGATATTTACCAAGTTAGAAACTTACTTTGTTGTGTATGGGAAGTTCAAAGTGTGACGATTTATTGGCACTCGGGAAAGGCATTCTCGACTAAGCCCATGCTTGGAGCAAGACAACACATACAAGAAAGGTATGCACATTCACCCTTGTAGTTTCACATAAGGTTCTATAAAGAGACATCAAACAAGCAGAACTCCAACTATATGAATCTATTTTGCTTATATCTCTTAACAAAGGTAAATACGTTATGTACTTGCTAAAAATTACAAATATGTGTCGCCCCTGTGCTAGCAGGGAAAGCCAGAGGCTTTAAGAATTTTCTGTGGTTTTAGGGCAAGCTCACAATGGTGAGTAACCATGTTTTGATGTGATTTTGATGTGAAGAGAGCAAGCTCCCGTGAGGTGAGAATCCCTATATCTTTGGGGATGTTTTGTGCGTATTTTGACTTATCCTTTCTCAACCCTAGAGTCGAGATATTTATA